TAGGTTATATAACCAATATTAGGATATTTCAGCGCCACAATAATTAAAAAACCACCTTTTTTAAAACTTGTTCAATATAAAAGTTAATAAGTAATTAGCAGTTTTAAAAGGAATTTTAAGTGAAAAAAATGCAAATGAAATTGTTAAGTAAGACTAGTTATGAAACATCCCGGAAACATACCGGAAAGTTTTGCATTTAAAAGAAAAAGTGAAAGACCAAGACCGCGGCTAAGAATTTAAAATTTATGGTATTAGGATAAGGTCAAAGCCAGCAATTAACACTGTTGAGTGGTTTGTACGATGTTTTTGAAGTAAAGCTTTTGCACTCTGTTCATCTTTTTTGGGCAAGTTTTGTTATCTTCCTACACAGCTCAAATAAAATAAAGTAATGAGTAATCTTGGTTAAGATCAAGGGGCGATTCATAGGGGGTGGGGGGGTTCAATTGCCCCTTCCTTAGATATTCTGAAAATAATTTTTTTGTTGTTGTAAATTTCTATATTTAACTGAGCAATCGTGTGAAAACGGAAGTAAATTAATGAGGCTGTTTAAATGTGATAAAAAATTTCAATGAATTTGTATGGTACCAAAAAAATCAGACTGATAGGATATTGATATATAATATAATTTCATAGTTCCATTGATTAAGACAGTGAAAGGCTAATATTCGAAAAAAATTTAACTAAAAAGTCTGAAAATTGCCTCTCCTCTCCTCTCTACTTACTTTAATTAAACACTAGTTAAGTTTGACACTAGTCTTGCTTAATATTAGAGTTTAGTCTTAATTCGAGCCCATTACTCGTATCTTTAATCCTAACCCGTTTAGATTATTATAAAAAAGTAAACTTATTGGCGGATCAATATCTTTTTTTCTTGGCCCTCTAGATTTTTTGTGCCAAATTCGAATTCTTATCAGTTTAAGCGGCCTCCAAAATGAGGCCGCTTAAACTGATAAGATAAAATTCAAGATGCGATTATAATAATATTTATAATTACAAATATTTATAAATATTTGATGATTGATAAACTACTAAATCAAATATTAAGAATTTTCTTCTTGAGCTATTTATCGGAGTAGATAATGATTCTGATTCTGCTCCATTGTCAACACATTGAGATACATTATAGCACATCAGAAAATATACTTTCAGGTGATACGTTTAGACTACTTTTTTAAAGTCATCATTTTTTGATTCCAATTGAACGATGAAAAGGTTGAGTGTGATTGGTTGTGTTATTTTTTAAAACTGGTAGTATACTCATGTAAGCTAAATGTAAAAGACAAAGAAAAAACACTGTTTGAAACTGATGATTTTTAGAATTGGAAGATTGTAGACAAGCATTTAAATTACCGTAACGCCAGCAACTTATACAAAAATAAATAAAAATTTATAGCTGTAAAAGCTACAACGAGATAAAAGTCTTGTAAAACTATACATGCCTCAAAAGAACCTTTAGCATCAACTTGTCAAACGGTTTTTGAAGTGCAATCAATTATTGTCGCCAAGTGGTCTTGATTTTTGTAGAAATTATGAAGTTATTGGATCCGTGAACAAAGAAATTATTTACAATGTTTGGAGTTGGTTGCAGATTATAATGTATTTTGCGTAGAATACATTCAACAATGCGTCATACAGAAAACAAACATTGGAAAATACGATTCTGTGTTTGTAGACCCAACACCTGATATTTTACTCTCAGATCAGTTAACATTTATAATTTAACATGTAACAACAAGTGGACCAATTGAAAGTTTTATAAAATTTATTCCAATTTATGAACAGGTGGCAGTGCAACTCTTGTCTGGTCATCAAAATGCAGTAAACGCTTTGCAGAAATGATAAAACATCTCAACAGATTCTTATTAATATTTTTATTTAACAAGCAATTGAAAACAAAATGGTTTACTGCAATTATAAATAAGTTAGGCACAGAACTAATAATTCAGGTATGGTCAATGGTTTTAGAAAAGTATAACAAAACAATCAAAATTTTTTCAACATTCAAAACTAAATTTAAATACCGGAAAAAAAGTTGCCGTTTATAAGAACTTTTGTGAAAGAGCTTTTCAATTCAGTGAAACAGAAAAAAAATGCAAAAATGTATCAAAACTATTTGCATCATCGAGAGAATAAAATGCAAATTAAGTAAAACGGATTATGAGACTTATTGTGATGCAGAAGATGATGCTGACGCCAGAGTAACTAGTTTAAAATTTTTATAAATTTTACACAAATTTCTTCAAAATATTGACAAGATATGATCAGCCTTGAATTATAGAATCTCTAAATTCAATGTTTATGATGATAGATTTAGTTTTTTATTTCAAGATTAATTTTTAATATTAAAACGTCTTATAACTTCCAAGCCAAAGAAAAATATTTGCCACGCATTTTGTGAAAGTATACCATGAAGACCGTCAACCTCAGTTCATAGATAAAGTTGTTCAATTTTGTTGGTTTGTTCAAACAGTCTAACTATAGCACAAAATATTATATTTGTTGGTTAACATGGTATCGTAGCTACTTTCCAAACATTTCAATTGCATTACGCGTGTATCTTTGTTTAATTGTGAGCAATTAAAGCAGAGGATATTCTTTATAATAACTTAAGCTTATTAAAACCAATTTAAAATCAACAATAGGCCAAAAATGTTTAACGTCCTGTTGCTGTTTTGCATTGAAATACTTCAGCAGCTTGATTTAGATTCTGTAACTGACGAATTTGTCAGTAAAAAATTTTGAAAAGTCAACGTCTAAGATTTCAGTAAAAGAACAAACTGATACAATTATAAACAAAAAACCGTTAGCAAAAAGTTTTAACTGTTTTTAAAATTGAATAAAGTAAACCAAAAGTGAACACAAATGAAAATTTAGCGTTTGGATTATTGAACTAAGTGAAATGACAACTAGTGAATGAAACATTAGATTAATATGAATGTAAAAATTATAAAACTTTTGTAGAAAGAGTCCTAAAATTGTTTTCAAATTAAACTATAGTGACAAAAATCTATTTTATATCTATCAAACATTACTGCCTCTCCTCCATTCCTTATTCTTTTAGCTTCGTCTCCTCCTTAAAATTTTTACAAACAAAGTTTCAGATTAAAAAAAAGAGGCTTTTAATAGTTGTTTTGTTGTATTTTATTTCAAAAAAAAAAAAAAGTGCGCGCACTTTTTTTACAAAAATGTATGACGTCGAACCGTAATACCTATTTTGAGAATAGTGGCAAGATATGAAAGCATTCAAATGTTTCAAGGTAACTGATAGCAAGTGAGAAAACTGATTTTAAAATGCCAGCAGTATTGGTTTCTACCTTTACATACGTATATACCTTCGGAATAATTTTAATAAACGTTTAAAAAGTTTTAAAGCTAACATTTTTTTTTTTTTTTTTTGGGAGGGGGAGGGGGATTGGGGTATCTAAGTTAAACTCTAAATATAGCGGAATCAAAAACGTACATATATTACTTAAACAAAATTAAAATGTATAGTTTAAAATTGTAAATTTTAGGTTTACATTGTGTAAAAATAATCGCAAGGGATAATGAGTTGTACCGTTAAATTAATAACTTAATTTTTCTCTATCAACCTTCACTACGTCTCAAATCCTAGTGCGTAAATGTGTAATTTGACCGGTTTAATCATAACATTTAACACGAATAATTTTGTTTATTCATTCAAAAAACATTTGGTTTAAAAAAAAAAAAGCACAAAGTTACTATTTATAATTACTTGTTTAAACAAAAGAAGTCAAAAATTTAGCAAACATAAAGATTACTAACGTAGTAAACATTTTTTATAACAAGTATTTAAAAACAATTAGGTTGATCTTTGTTGATTGCAAAAATCCTGACTACACTTGCAGAATAACAATGGAAATTGTCAAGATCATATTATCGGAGTATTAAAATTAAGCAGGCCTAATTAAAATTGTAAATCTGTGTATTTATCTGTTAACATACGCAAACAATCGTAAGACGTTATAAGTAAGAGTTACTTTACAGAGAAAAAAAGGTGTAAATTATAATCAAAAAAAGTTTTTTGCAAAAAAATAATTTCTTAATTAGTAAAAATGGTAAGTAATTAGGCGATAACATAAGTTCGGTATTCTCGAAAATGTTGATATATGTTGTTATAAATACTTAGATATATTCATTTATAAGATCAATAAATATATTTATAACTATTTGAATATAGTTCATATAAAAAAGTCTTCTAAAAACCCTATAATGTAAGGCTAAGGTAGTCGTTACATGCCTATAATTTTTCTGGCTATGCCCTCGTAAACAATGTAACTTTTTATTGCGCCAATAAAATTTTTTAACATTTGAGACTTTTAGGGGTTAAACGCTTAAATTACTTAATTCCAAACATGCGTACCAAATGTAATATCGTAATAGTTGGAGTCTAGGGAAAAATTACCAGTTTCCGAAGAATTCTCACTGCGTTGGGGTGGGTGGATATGTATTTTTTATTATTTAATATATGTGTTTTTTATCGACTTACGATTAAAAAAAAGGTCCTGGCCGTTTGATATTTTCTGATTAGGGGTCCATTTGCAGAATATAGGTCCAAATTTAAAAACTTATGTTTGAGCAATGTTTTTTTAGGGGGCAATTACACATCCTACAACTTACCTCTTTTACGGCCCAGTCCCTACTTTAAATAAGTGGAAAATAGCTAAATGAAAATGTGTTATACTTTTCTAAACTTAATCACTTAATCATTTAATTCACCGACAGATCAAAAACTACGACAATTTAAAATTTTTATCATACTTATTTGGGAGAGGGGTACCAATCCCTAGTTTAGGACATCTGATGGAAAATTTTGGCTTTAATAATTTTTATGCCTAGCAAATTTAAATCATCAAATTAAAATTTTTGTTGAATATTTTTTTAACGTTAAAAAAGCCGTGTTTAACGGTTACGTAGCTTTTTGTTTACGTAAAATAATACCTTTATTTAGCTCTCAACAAAAACAAGTATTTGAAGCGGAGTTCCACGACAAAATTTTAATCCGTTACAAAATACATGTTTTAATGAATGGAGAAATAATTTCATTGGTTGGAAACTAAAGCCTAACAAGTTTTTTTTGACGAATTAAATAATTTAACATGATATATTAGAATCGGTTAAATTCTGAAAGTGTAAAAAGTCTCTTATATTACAAAAGTACATAACAAAAGTTAACATTAATAGTATATTTCATAGGTATGATATATTATCATTATAAAAGTAGCGAAACTCTATACTTTTATGGTTATAAATATTGATTTAAATAAACACTTCAACACTTAGTTATGTAAAGTGCATACTTGTTAAAACATTGCTTGAAAGTATAACTTTGCCCAATAAAACTTATGCTTCAATCAGTAAAAGTATTTTTTAGTTATGGTTTTATCGATAAATTGTTCAAAATTTGGATGCATGTTTTTATTGTTAATAAGTCGTGTTTTTGGTAAGTTTCTATAAATGAAAATTTTTTAGTTTGTATATTTGTTATAGTCTAAAGTAAATGTTTTTGGTTAGTATCTAATATAATAAAGTTTTATAAAACTATTAGTATAAAAATATATATATATATATTGAACAAGAAAACAAAAGGGATACAGATTGAGTTGTATACTTCATAAAAAACTTTGTTTAACTTTAAACTGATATAGTCTTACTAAAAATGAGGTTTTTAATTTTTAATTAAAAAATTGAAAAACTCAAGCTTTTTAAACATTTTTGCATCATAGAAGAAAACTGTTGGCCTAATTGCTACATTTTTTTAACAATAATATTATCCAGCCTTTTGGAAAAGTCCTAGGCCTGATTAATGCTTTGCTGTAAATACTTTAATTTTCTGATTTTATAAAGCATAAGCGTATTTCCAAAACAGGGTTAGAATAAACAGCCAATTTAATGTGACTTTTGACACTATGTAATGTTTTTATTTCTCAGTATGGGGTTAGAGGGTAATGGGAGAAATACTGGTAAAAATCAAAAGATCACAGGAAGTGTATTTTGCATAGAACCTTTTATTTCAGTTTGGTTCATATGAAAAAGTTTACAAACTAAGTTTAAATCCTAGTTTTTTCAATAAATTTACATATAACACAATATTTCCAAAGCTGCCCTACATAAAACAGAACATTAACCACCACTTTATACTAAGTCCTTGACATAACTCCACCCATTTCTTATTATAGAAATCTGCAATTTAAAGCTTTTGTTTTTTAATTTTGTTTGAAATCCATAAATTTAGGCTCCTTTTCGCAATGTGTTATCTTGGTTATAAGCTTAGGTAGGTGTTCTTTTTAATATGACTTCAACCTCCACACAAAAGAATAATCCTCCAAGACTACTTTAATTCTCTAAATACAGCAACATCTAGCAGAATTTGTTTGCATTTGTTGGCACTGTTATTTCATTTGATAACATGTTGGATGATAGCTTCAGTAACTTCATAAGAAAAAGGAGAATTATAAAAATTATCACCAATCAAAAAATGTTGTCCCAGTTTTCAAATTAGCAACAGGCAAGTATGTTTACATATACCATCTATGTGGTTCACCTTGAGTCCAACCCTGGTAAAAATTCTTTGTTTTATAAGCAACCACGGGCAGCAAAAACTTTCCAACAGTGTTACCAGAAAACATATTAGTTGACCGATTCGAATGTTTTTTTCAACACGGTACCCATGACCACAACAAACAATAAAATAAATATTTTGACCTTGGATTATCTGTTGAATTGCTCTCCTCAAATTTATAGGTGTTTTCTGGAAGTATCTCCTTCAACTCTTGGTACAAATTATTAAAATAATTGTAAAGTTGACTACAGCCCTACTATGTTTTACATCGGCAGCAATCCTTTATTTTAAACAATAAAAGACTGAACCCAATTTTCCTCTGGCATGTTATTTTTTAATTGAGAGTTGTTTATTTTTGTTTTATAACTTTTGCTATTTTCCTTTTTTCTACGCATCATGTTTAGGTACAATAAGTACCTGAAAATGATGTGTAGCAACTTTTATGATGTTTTGATCTGTACTTTTTGAGAAACTGCTTGATAACTGTCTGAACAACCAAACTCATGCTGTTTATATTTGAGAAAAGGTGATAAAGAAAATTTTTTTGTGCAGTCAAAGTTTAGCTTCTATATATTATATTTAAGGCAACTGAATCAAAATATTTAGCTTTATTGTGTGTTGCTTCACAATTTAGTAAAGTTGGTAATGATGGTCATTTTCACCTTGTTTATGATAGTCATTTAACTGTATATATTGATATATATTTTTTCATATATAAGTTTCACAAATGTTAAAATAGAATAATATTTTTATTTTATTATGTAAAAATAAATATTTTTATTCATATTATATAAAAATTAAGAAAAGAAGTTTAAATAGTTGTTTTGAGTAATTAATTTAGTAACTTTGTAAAAATATTTTAAAAAAATCATCTTTAATAAATTGTTAATATTGTTTTACAATTTTATTTTTATTATTTTGTGTAAATGTATTTGCTTTTGCTTTTCCAGATTCATTTAAATTTTTCAACCATTGCAGCCTTTGTATAATTACAATACACTCAACACCAAATAATAAACTTTTCATTAGTATATTATAAGATATATTTTTATAACCCTATTATATTCCCAGTGTCTGACAACAATTGTCTGACATCTAGGCTTATTTCTTAAGGTGTTACTATCTATAATTAAGTCAGGTTTTTTGTTAATTTAAAACATAAAGTGCTTGAAAATATTAATAAAAAAACAATCAAATTACAACCATATTGTTTTAATCTTTACAAATATTTGTGGTTTACAATGTAACTTTTCATCCTTTAAATCTTACTGCTTGTAAAACTTACTAGATTTACAATAAGTTAGTATTGTTGGTTTTAATCAAATATATATCATATAAGCTATAGTAAATATATATTAAATGTGGTTATATATATATATATATATATATATATATATATATATATATATATATATATATATATATATATATATATATATATATATATATATATATATATATATATATATATATATATATATATATATATATATATATATATATATATATATTTAGAGGTTGTTTAGTGTCTCTAAACATAAGGTGAGTCCCTAATATTATCAAAAAAAAAAGTTATTCAAAAAAATGATTACATCTAAAAGTAATAATAGTATATATTATTATTGTTATTATTAATATTATTGTTATTATTATTATTAAATAATAATAATAATAAATAAATTAAAAAAAATATATTATTATTTAATATATACAAAAATATTAATAATGATGATATTTTTTGTATATACATTCGTATCTCTAAAAGTTAATTTACGATACTAAATAATATTAAAATTTTTTAAGTTTTTTAAGTTTTATATGCATATTATGTGTATATCTTCCAAATGGTTTCCTTGGAAACTATCATAAGTATTAATCCTAAAATTTACAGACCTTGAACACTGTGTTCTCCTTCTTATATAAGAAAACTTATTTACAAAAATTTATAAAAAATACACATGCCAAGAAATCTGGTTAAATTCAAACTTTTACTAGTATTATAATTTCTTGAGTCTTTTTTAATATTTGAGTAGTAATTTGATTTAAAAGCTAATAATGAGCAAATATAAAATAAAATAAATAACAAATAATAAAGTAACAAAAACTTGCAGCATCTAGTTATGTAACAACCATAGTTGTTGCATCACTTAGTTAAGTGACAACCAACCAAAACATTTTGCCTTAAAAACAAGATTTCAAAATAAAAGTATTATACAAAAGCAGACTTACTGACTCCATAAAGCTGTGGTGTTTTAAAAAAGAGGTTTGAACTTACTGAATCTACAAAAAGTTAAAAGCAATCAGAAAGAATGTGCAAAATAACACATTTTCAGGGTAAAAACATCCAAAAAGAATTTGCATCAGAACATCTAAAGTGAAGTGGACAATGGTCAAAGATTCTTTTTAGTGATGAAAATATAGGTAAGTTTGATGTTCAGTAGGTGCAAGTTATGATATAGCCTACAGTAAAACATGGAAGAGGTAATATAATGGTTTGGGGATGTTTTAGTCAAAATGGTGTTGGTTTGCTCCATGAATTTACTGGTACTATGGATCAAAAAATATACAAAGATATATCTCATGCAAAGAATAATAGATAGATATACCAACAGGATAATGATCCCATTAACGCAGCCATACCAGCAAGATAATAATCTCAAAGAAATTTCAAGAGCTGTTCAAAAAAAGCAAAGTTTGTGTTTGAAGTTATCATCCCAATCACCTGATTTAAGTTCCATTGAACTTTTACAGTATCATGCTAACTGTCAAATGAAATACATTAAGCCAACAAGTCATGCTCATTTATTTACTAAATTTGGAACTTTTTTTTAAATGAAAATGGAATTTTCCATTTTCATTTGCATTAATTTAGATGACTATAAAATTTTGCAAGTTTTTGAAATCAAAAGTTGCTTTTTAAATCAATTAGAATAATTAAAGAATCAATATTCGTTTAAATAAAAATAAAAAGCATGAAAACTTTTTAATTGGTATATAATATCTTGGCTTAAGTAAAGTATGTACTAAAATATTAATGAAATTCAATTGTTTTTTAACTTGACTGCAAATTTGTGTATGTTAATGCATGGTTTCTAACATAAGTAGCATTTTACCATTACAAACAATTTAAAAATGAATTGTTGCAAAAAAAGTTCCAAAAACATTTTTTTTAAATATATTTTTATAATATTTTCTTTCACTTGATTTGAAGGTATTGTGGTTGATTCTCTGCCAGCTGATTGCCTTGTGGAGGCCACATTAAGGCCCGCAAAGACAAGTTCAGCTCCTTAAGGAGCATCGTTACCTGCTCTACAGACCAAGAGTAAGGTAAGTTTGGGAAGAACGAATGTATATTAGAGTGAAAGACAGTAGTCATGCTAGAAAGATGGCATAGAGAAAACAGACAGGAATTGCACACAATGTTAGAAGTTGCAATAGTGCTGTTAGGTGAACTGACAAAGACTTGAGAGTTTATTTGATAAGAACTCTTCCTCAACTTTCTTTGACATCCTTGAGACACAAAAAACTAACCTTTTACATAGAAATTAGCTTAAATATTGCTTGTGGGTTTGTTTGGAAAAAGTAATCTTTATTCATTAACAAATTTTTTCATTTTTAAAATAGGTTTATATTGCTTGTGGGTTTGTAATTTTCTTTTAATAAAAATTTTTTATTCTAAAATTACATTTTTTTATTTTGAAAATCAGCTAATATTGCTTCTGGGTTAGTTATTTTTTTTTTTAATAATATACTTTTTTCTGTTTTATAAATAAAATTCATTTTTAAAATTGGCTAAGATTGCTTGTGGGTTTGTATTTTTTTTGAATATTTAAAAATACTTTTTAAAAAAAAAAAAGTTTTTGCTTAATATTAATATAGCTTAACTTTTTGTAAAGTAGAAAGTAAAATATAGCAAAAACATTTGCTTAAAAATATAATCTGTACTAATAAGTACAGATTATTTTTTTTTAAAGGTTTGCTTAAAAATATAATTTTGTACTAATAAGTAAAAAATAAACTTTTAAATTTAAATTTAATAGTTCAGTAAACTAAAGATTGACAGGTATGTTTCTAAATTAACCTTGCACAGACCTGTCAATCTTTAGTTTACTGAACTATTAAATTTAAATTTAAAAGTTTATTTTTTACTTGTTAGTACAAAAAAGATTATACTTTTGAGCAAGTGTTTTATTTAAACAACTTGGCTATATTTTATTTAAACAACTTGGGCTATTAAACAGTGTACTGAGTACTATCTATGCTTTGAGTTAAGTTCATTAACAAATTTAAAAATGAATAAAGTACCAAAAACTATAATACACAAAAAACCATCGCCATCACCACTTCTTTAAATCTACCATTCACTAATATTCATGGTCTTCAGAGTAACTTTTATTCAGTTAAGTCTTAACTCTTGCAAAGTTCACCAGACCTACTTGCTCTTTATGAGACTAATTTGAGTTCAGCTCTCTCATCTTGTGATCTTAGTGTTGATGGCTATCTTCCTTGGTAGAAATCTTTCTTCTTCCTGTTAATAAATGTGTTTCATAATTTCGTGGATTCAGGTTGGCATAGAATCTTTTATTCCCTCTTGACAATTTCAGGTCAAGCCTCACTCTTCCCCATGGTTTTCCTCACATTATGCTGCTGCAATTTCCAATCAAAACCGTAACCTATATCTATCAGCAAAACAGTTCTTCAGAAAACAGACATCTATTTATTACTGCTAGAAACCATTGTAAAAAGGTTTTGTCTAACCCCAAAGCCCACTATTCTCAGGTCATGAAATCTCATATTTCATCACAAAAATTAGGCTCTTGTGGCTTCTGGAGAATCTTTAATAGTATCAATAATAAGGGCAAATCTGTTATTCTACCTCTCTTGTATGGTTCAGACTTTGTCACCTCACCTTAAAAACAAAGCTGAATTGTTTGCTAAAAACCTTTCATCAATATCATCTCCTGATTCCACTAGTTGCGTTCTACCTGATTTAGCTGTCAAACAGGTTTATCCATTGCTTGACATTCGTATTACTCCAGCTTCTGTATCTAAAGTGATTTCCTGCTTAGACTCTTCTACAGCTTGTGGTCCAGACAACATATCTGTTGTAGTCTTGCATAAGTGTTCTCCGGAGCTGTCATCTATACTTTCAAAATGTTTAACAAGTTCTTTTCAGAGTCTTGTTTTCCAGCCTGCTGGAAAACAGCATCTGTTATCCCTATTTTCAAAAATTCTGGAGAATCGTCTAACTACCATCCCATTAGTCTTCTTCCTATCATAAGCAAGGTTTTTGAATCTTAAATTAATAAACACTTAATCTCTTATCTTGAATCTAATAACTTACTTTCTGATCATCAATATGGATTTTGATCTTTTCATTCTACAGCTGATTTGCTAACAGTAATAACCGATAGATTTTATTGTGCATTAGATAAAGGTGGAGAAGTTAAGCCCATAGCTCTTGACATTTCTAAAGCTTTTAATAAAGTTTGGCACGCTGGTCTTCTCCATAAGCTTTCTTCTTACGATGTATCTGGAAACATCTTTAAGATTATTGAATCCTTCCTTTCCAATCGTAGTATAAAAATTGTCTTTGATAGACAGTACTCTTCTTCCTATCCTGTAATTTCAAGGGTTCCTCAAGGTTCAATCCTTGGTCCTATACTCTTTTTATTTTACATTAACTATCTTCCAGATATTCTCACATCTAAGTTGGCATTGTTTGCTGATGATACTACCATTTATTTTTGTCTTGATAAAAAGCCATCACTCTCTGATTGCTTGGAGGGGGTATTTTAGCTTGAAAAGGTTCTCACTTCTGCTATATGATTTTTTTCAGCCAATCGTTATCGCAATAATTTAGATCTTCCTCTATTTATGAGTGGTAATGTCATCTACCCTTCATCTTCTTGGATTATCTCTTACTTCCGATCTTTCTTGGAAACCATATATTAAATCCATTGCAAAATTAGCATCTGTTTAGGTTGTATCTCTTTATCAAGCTCGACACTTTCTTACTCCGGATTCTATTCTCTATCTCTATAAATCTCAAATCTGTCCATGTATGGAATACTATTGCCAAAACTGGGGCGGATCTTCTATTAATGCCCTTTCTCTTTTAGACAAGATGCAAAAATGCATTCTAAACATAGTTGGACCTGCTCTTGCAGCCAACCTCCAACCATTATCACATCGTCATAATGTTGCTTCTCTCTCTCTTTTCTACAAATACTATAATAGGCACTGCTCTAAAGAGCTAGCGTCTCTTGTGCCATCTACTAAAATTCATTCTCGTGTTTAATCATTTAAATTTAAGTCTTGTCCTTTTTTCTGTGACCGTTCCTAAATGGTTCAAAAACTCTTATTCCTCTAGTTTTTTTCCTCAATCATTAGTTCTTTGGAATAAGCTTTTTTCACCTTACTTTCTTGATTCATATAATTTGCAATTTTTTAAGTCGTCTGTCAATCGTTATCTTGCTCTAGAATCTTCATCTTTTCTCTTCCAGCAACTTCTAACTCTAATATTGGTTGCTGCAGCCTTGTTGGAGGGGATGTTAAAAAAAAATCTTTCTTTAATGTATTTTTTTAAACTGATACTTTTCTCATCTAAAATATAATTTTAATTTAAAGTTACATAAAGATTTTTAAGAATTTTCTTACTCAAGTCACTATACAATTTTATTACTAATAATGTTTGTTTTTCTTTTACTTGAAACAAAACCCTAAAATATATACAAATTATTTTATAAAGTGTTTCATTTTGTTAACTCATTATCATTTTTTTATAGCATATTCTGTAAATAGAACACAAACTCATAAATGTCGTGATGCAAATATTGCTGTTGAATCCCAGAGTTCACTTTGTTATAAAGATGAATCAAAATGTGATGAGGAGATTTGCGATATTGAAATGTCACAATGTCAAGCTATATATAGAAATATAAGTGGAAAACTCCGCCATTGGTTTTTCTCTTGCTTTCATCATGGAGATCAAGAATGTGGTACAGATACATGTCCTTTACACTATGTGCCTAGTCATGATCTTTGGTACTGTTGTTGCACAACATCTTTGTGTAACACAAGAATTTATTATCCTTTAGAACCTACTTTAAATATCCTGACTGGTATTTTTTATTTTTTCTTATATTTGTTTTTGAAAATTTTTAATTATAGTTCAATATAGTTTTAAAGGAACTGCCAACTCTCAACACATATTTAAGAAAATTTAAAAAAAACAGCTCAATTTTTTTGATTAAAACTGAATAATAAATGTATATCAATACAAACTAAACTTGTTGTTTTAAAGCTTGCCTTTACAATATATGGCCTAATTTACAAACTTATAATATATTTCAAATGTGTTTTTAAGAGTTTCAGTGGGTGACATCATAGTAGTTGGCCCATAATACTATCAATTTATTAAAAAAAATGAAGTTCTACTAAATTTATTACTAAGTTTTAAATATAATTATTTTAAATATAATTAACATAATTTTGAAATTTTTTTAATACTTTTATATTATTCAGTAAATATTTATATTTGTTTGTTGTTACTTGTTAACAATAAAGATAATGACAATTTAAAATTTGGAGAAAATGGCTACTAAATTTTTTAATTTAAGTTATCTCAAATTACAAAAATTGTTACTCGTCAGAGATGCACTATTTCTGGCATTATTTTGTTGTAAAAATTGAGTGTATAAGGATCTATAAATCTGAAAAAAAACTTGATTTAAAACAACTATGCTTTTTCTTTAGAAAATGCTAGCACAACGATAGCTGCTCATAAAAACTTTACAACTGAAGGTTCCAATTATCTTATTTTAGTTTATATATTAGTACCACTTTCGGTAGTTATTGTGATGATAGGTTTATTTGCATGTATTAAGTGGAAATACAAAAAAAAAGAAGATATTTTATTGGTTTACGAGCGGGACTCGTCCAAATATGAGTACTTAAATATTATACACCAGGGACAGTTCACTAAACTATGGTTGGTTCAACATCAGGATCAGAAAATGGTTGTCAAGTTGCTTCTTCCAACATTACAAAATTTATGGACAAATGAAAGAGAAATTTTTGTGAAATATAATTTAAAGCATCGAAACATTATAAAATTTCTTGCTGCTGAAACTGAAAACATTAACAATAAACTTCATTATTTATTAGTTGTAGATTATTATGAAAAAGGTTCTCTTGTAGATTATTTGAAAAAAAATGTTATAACAGTTCAGCAGATGCTAAAATTCATTTTTAGTATTGTTCGTGGGCTTGTATATCTTCATATGCCTGAAAGTAAAAAACCTCGAATAGCGCATAGAGATTTAAAAAGTGCAAACATATTGATAACAAATGATTTAGAATGTGTTATATGTGATTTTGGATTAGCAATTGCAGTAGATAAAAACAATTTTCAAACATGTTTTGATAAAGCCCAGGTAAAAAAGTTTTCTTTTTATCTTACAGTTATTTATTTGTAAGTAAGATAATATTTATAATAAATTATTATATATAATTTAATTGCTAAATTAGTTATAAAACTTGTAAAATTATCATTGATAGTATTTTTATATAATTTGTGTTGGCATTTGTAGTCTTATTCATTTTTTGTACTTCAGAACTTCAGTTCTTTAGTACAAAATTGGTGCAAGGTAGAAGGTTCAAAATTGATAGACTTCTGGAGGAACTATTATGTTTTTTTCTAAAACTTAAGTTAAATATTTTTCTCTTTATTGGTCCAAATACTGTAACAATATGTATAAGAACCATTGTATCTTCACCAACAAATGTATACACAAACAATTCGAAGCACAAATTTGCAATCACATACATTTTAAACTCTGTGGGATCATGATTGATTTAATTGATGTTAGACCCTATGCCCAAACTAGCATATGCTTAACTCTGTGTCTGTAAAAACCTCTCAATATAAAATTTTCATTAATAAAAAGTCTTATATATAACCATATATACAATCAAAACCATATATACAATTGATTGCTAAATTAGTATCTGCAAAGATTGCTTCTAATTTTCATGTTTGCCATTTTCTTACTCCTGATTCCATTCTTTACCTCTATAAATCTCTCATTCGTCCCTGTATGGAATACTGTTATCATATTTGGGCTGGTTCTTCTAATGATGCTCTTTCTCTTCTAGACAAGGCCAAAAAACGAATTGTAAATGTAGTTGGACTTGCTCTATCTGCAAAGCTTTCTCATTGTCGTAAAGTTTCATCTCTTTCTCTTTACTACAAATACTATCATGGTTACTGCTCAAAGGAGCTATCAAATCTAGTTTTATTAAATAAAACTCATTCTCACTTGACTTGTCATTCAGCAAATTCTCATTCTTTTACTGTATCTGCCCCTGCATGCTCTAAAAACTTTCATTTGTCTAGTTTTTTTCCACTGTACTTTAACCCTTCAAAACTCTTTCCCATTTTCATGTTTTCCTTACTCATACAACCTAAAACTTTAAAAGTCTTCAACAGTATGTTCCAACTTACTCATACAACCTAAAACTTTAAAAGTCTTCAACAGTATGATTACCTAAAGTAAGTCTTCAACAGTATGATTACCTAAAGTAAGTCTTCAACAGTATGATTACCTAAAGTAAGTCTTCAACAGTATGATTACCTAAAGTAAGTCATTTAATTTCTAGTTCATGTGTCTGATCTTTTTACTTCTCCCCATAATAAAGCAGAGGTATTTATAAAAAGAGTCAACTAAGAAAAGGTTACACCGGTTTAAGCAACATAAAGATTGTAGTGTTGAAGACTTTAAAATAGTCCTGTTGACTAAAACACCCAACTTCAAACCTTTGGCAACAGAAAATTGTATATGGCACCAAACTGCATTACTCCAACTGTTAAACATGAAGATAACTCTGTTATGGTGCTATAGGAGATTTCTCATTTAATTTATGCAAAAAGGTTTTTATCACAAACATCTTTTTGGATTGATTTAATTATGTTGTATTTTGTTAGTAATACATCTCTTGCTAGTTTAAAAGTGAATGCTTTTATTCAATAAGATGACATTCATTAAAAAAAATGTGTTAAATAATATAACTGTTGTCCACTGTTCACTATTGTTTTCATGTACAATGCACCAGTTATTTTCTTTACTAACAATAGGTTTTTATTTGCTTTTCAAAAAATTTACCTTGTGCTTTTATTCAGCCAGATATTGTTTATTTTTAGAAAGTTGTAAGTTTTAAATTTTTATAATTTTTTTTAACTGCATCAAGAACATAACAGTTAGAAAGTTTCCTTTTAAAAGTTTAGGCTTTTTCCCTGAAACAACAAACTTTACAGTTTTACAATAGTGTAAAATCTGCCAATAGTTAAGTTTTGTTGTTTAGTCAATGATATTGTTCAGTAGCTTCAACAATTTGTTCAATTTTTATATCTATAAGATATTTTCTAATATAATAAATGTGGCCATTTTTGTCAGTTTTTTCAAAGATATTTTTTATATAATATTTATTATAGTTACTATAAAATACTAATAATTATTAAAAAAATATTTTTACTGCTAAAATAAAAAAGATCCGTTTTTGACAAAGTTATTTTATTGTTTTTACCTTAAAAAACATTAAAGGTTATTGTTAGAGATTCTGCAAATGTGAACACTAGAAAAAAGGGCTCAGTTACCAAGGCTATTTTTTAAAAGAAACTGAAAAAGAGTTTATTGGTTTTCAACATCATGTTCTCAGCAAAGTATTTTTTACAGTATTGGATGATGATTTTGGAGGAAACACCACATTGCCAAATAATAAAAAATAAGATTGAAAACAAATGAAAGAATGTTATGGTGTGATTGTGTGATATTATACAGTGTGACCTGTAATTGTGTGATATTTTATAGTGTGAGTTGTGATTGTATGATATTGTTTATTGTGATTTGGGAATGTGTGATATTTTATAGTGTGATTTGTGATTGTGTAATACTGTTAAGATAGTAGTGTGATCATATTGAACTTCTGATTCTTTTGTTTTCTACTTTTTGAAGAAACTGGATGATTTATAAAGTTTCAAAAAATGTGTAACCCACAATGCAACAGTAAATATTTTAGCATTTATTATTTTACATAATTTTTTTAAAGGGTCTGAAAATTGATTCAGCAAAGGCTCATGGATTTGTAATTCCGGCCCTCGTTTTGGGTTTCAGAATCTTGAAAAACAAATTCTTTGGATTAATCAGTACACAAAACAAATAAGTGCTTTTAACATCTTTGTGGTATCTGTAAACAATTGGACAAAGTTTACTTTTTGTTCAATTTACTTTGTTTAACAAAACACAATAATTGAAAAGTATGCTAGATTATAAATTATTTTTTTTTAGTGCATGAAGTATTTTTTCCTTTATTTTACTTTTTTCTTTCTTTTTTTACTTTACATTCTTATAATCTTATTGCAAGTTTTTTAATGGCCAAGTTTGCAATTTTTGTTTATTTGTAAATATATACATTAATTATTAAACACTACCAAATATTTTCACGATTAAAAGTTTGAAAAATAAAAAACTTTCGAAATATTTTGATTTATTATACAGATTGGCAAAAAAAATTACTGATGACACTATACTGAAATAGCTGGGAAGGGGAAGGGGGAGGGAGGGAGGGGGAAAAAGTATGTATATTGAATAATTGTTTGGGTTCGGGCAGGCAGTATATTCATATAAAAAACATAATTTTTTTTTCATTTTTTATTTTAATATGTTAGGTTGGTACTAAAAGATATATGGCTCCTGAAATATTAGATGGAGCAATTGTGTTCAATTCAGAATCATATTTTTTGATGGATATTTACTCAACTGCTCTAATCATATGGGAGCTTGTTTCAAGATGCAATTATGAATCAGGTTTTTTTTTGCTTTTATGTCTCTGTTTATTGTTCATTAATGTTATAATTTTGTAACGTTATTTTAACATAATAAAGCATTTTCCCATGTTGATGTTTTATTCTTTCTTCTTGATAATCTTGCTGCTAAATTGGTTCTATTTGCTGATAATACATTTATATAACCCAGTCTTTATTTAGGCTAGTTTTTTTAATAAGGCTTTCCCTCTTTTTGACTGCCTCTTTTAAATAACAGTTTTAAAAGTCTATAAAAAATAAGAAAACTCACAACTTAGTATGTTCAATAGCAAAAAGAAAAGTTTCATTTCATTTTATTATTTACAAGTTTTTTTCAATCATATATTTATTATTTTAAAGATTTTAATTTTAATTGTTAACTTTTAATTCTTTTCATTTAGTATTAATTTCTATACTATAGAAATTAATACTATATTATTGTTACTTTCACATATTCATCAATAGTTTATAACATTTTACAAAATTGCAGTCATGGTAACCACCTTTTTGTTTTGTTACATTCATTGTTACTTCTTTAATATTGCTTGTTTTATTTGAAAAAAAAAATCTTTACAAATCTTTAAATTTTTACAAATCTTTAAATTTTCAAATTTTTATGTGTTGGCTGTTTTTTAAATTTTTGTTTGTTTTAAAAATAATTAAATGTTTAAGAAAAAAACTCAAGATAATTTTTTTTTGGTTTTCTTTAATCTATTAAATAAATAAAAATAACCTTTAGTTGGTTTCGTCAGTTTAGTTTTTTCTTTTCAAAAACTAGACGGGTAATAAATTTCATTTTGTCAATAATTTGTTTTAAACGTTTCACAAATGCTTCTTCTATGATCTGATAACTACTCCCAGTCCCTATTATGATGTCAATGACTCCGAGTCCTTATTATGATGTAAAATACTAAAAAATTCGTTATAGTTTTGCGTAGTTGTTTTGGGCATGAAAGTAATATCTACTAAATTGTTATTAACAAAAGATAGTAATTGAAGTATATCAAATTTCAGTTGTTTTCTGTTTGCACAAAATTATTTTTGCAAAACCTTTTGATTTATGTTAATTTTGCAATTTGATGCAACTTTTATGTCATAATAGCATTTGCGCTTTTTTTTGATCTAGTTCCCTTTTTTTGTAAATAAAAGGAATAAAATGAATATTTAAAAAAATTTGGTCTTTATTCTCTTTATCACTTTCTTTTGGTTATTTTTTTTATCCTTAAAGTAATTAAATAAACCTGAAAAACGTCTGCTGATGTTGAGAGTAAAATCTCACAGAGGAAGCAGAGAATCTTTTTTTGCTGCTCAATAAAGGTTCATGAAAATTTAACTAGGGATATTAGACAGGGACAAATTTATTATATAAAAGTTAAAAATCAGTCTTTTTAATAGGTCATGTATCAGGGTGTATCATGTATCAGGCTGTTGTAGTTTATGTACTCGGGCGTCTTACGACACTAGCATGAAAAATGTTTTACTTTTGTCTACATTTTTTTGTGTATTATATTTTGTTTATGTTGTAGAAGTAATCAAACATTACCAACCACCTTATTTTGACCAAGTTGGTGAAAACCCAAGTATATGGCAAATGAAGGACTGCGTCGTTGACCGAAACGTGAGACCGCCTATCCCTTTAGAATGGAGGAATAACACGGTTTGATTATAACTATTATTTTATTTAAAAATTATTTTTTTTTTTTAATTTTATTTTAATACGTTTATGCTATAGATTTTGAATATGATTTGTATTACTATGGAGGAGTGTTGGGATCGTGATCCTGAAGCTCGTGTTTCAGCCAACTGTATTCATGAAAGATTGCTAGCAATTAAAGATCAAACATCAACAGAAATAGCGTTACATATGCAGGAAGAAACTGTAAAGACTCTTTTGCTTGGTCATAATTTATGACCCATTTAAACTGTTTTTTTCTGTTTTTTATTGATTTTGAAAAATAATGGTGCGTGCGTTAAGATTTTCAGACATTTTTTAACTCCAAACGTTAGAAAATCTATGAGGATAACTTAAGATTTAGTATAAGACTTGAAAACTTATTAGGTAATGATCTTGTTTCCATTTTTGGGCGTAAGCTTTGTTTCTATACGTTAGGAGTAATACAAATATCTGCGTTAACTAAACATTATTTTTAGACAGAGGCATAAAAATCTTTATAGGTTAAATTTTTCCATATATCATCCCACATATATTTCTTTTATAAGACATATTTATACTGTATTTAAATGTATAATAATTTTTATTATAATTAATATAACTTTATTATAATTGCAATTACTTATGTTTTTATAGTTTTACAAATTTATTGCAGTTTAACAACTAGCTAATGGTTAAACGGCGCAAAATCTTTGAAGGTCCTCTGGGATTTTGGAAATTTAAAACAAGACAAAAATAATAACCAAATTTGACTCTTTTAAAAATGCGGGCTTTTTTTTTTTACGAAGTTATATAACCTTGTAGGAGTATTTGACTGGGAATATTACCTGCTCACTATATTTAAAAAAAAATTTTAAAATAAAAAACAAAAAAAGCAAGTTAAAGTTTTAAGCATATTAATGTATTTCAAAAATCGTAGTGAAAAACTCATCGATTCAAAGAATTTTTTCAAATTCGAATTCGATGTTGTGTTAAGCACAGTTTAAAAAAATGCAACGGTGAGGCGGTAAGGCGTACGCTTTTTTAAACCTTGACTATTGTCAAGTTTTAAAAATTTTTGCGAAAAGCGTACGCTTCACCGCTACGTTTTTTTAAACCTTGGTGTTAAGTTTGTATGCTGTGCTTCCACAAGCGCTAAAAAATATAGTTTAAACTTATATTTGCAAGGCCGCGCAGTTAACCGAATCGAAGCATTCATTTGGTTAAATATAAACAATAGAAAAAAAGATTAACCAGTTACATTTTTTTAATATTGCATAATTCGATCCGTTTCTTTTTAAACTTGTCATTTTACGCTCAAGAAATTGGGATACCATTTGTATATAATAAAAACTCTAGTTTAAAATTGCAATCAATCTCATATTTTAAGTAAACAAAGCACGAAAAAAAGTAAAAATTCTGTATTGATAAGTCAATAAAATACTTTATTGATTTAATAAACAGAAAACAATTTAAAAGCGGGAAAAAAAGTAGAATACTTTATTGACTTTTGATAAGTCAATAAAATATTTTACTTTACTAATTTATCAAAAGTATATAATACAGTTGATCACATTTTTTTTTTCTTTTAAATAAAAACTTTACAGATCGATAAACACAGGCTACAATTGAATAAAAAGCTTAGTTAAATAAAAATAATTTGTTCAGTAAGGTTTTTATATGCTTAAAGAATCTGGAAAACTAAAAATTATTAATGTAGTTCTAAAAGGGTCGTTTTTTTATTCGTTTCTGTTCTTATTTTATTAAATGATTTTAAGAATGCTTCACCAATAGGTACTTCCCCCATCAGTGAATTTTTCGTTAATTTAGTTGACAAATTTGACCCTTTTAGACAAGTTAGTTGGCAAATGTAGACCAGTCAGTAGGTAAATTTCAAAAAACGAAGACCTTTTTTTAATTGGCTAAAATTGTAATGGCATCTACTCGCGCCGGCCCTGGGTATCAGTAATTTTTCGTATTAAGTCGTTAATATACTTTAAGTAGACTTTTAAGAAAATAAGAATGAACTCAAAAATTAAAGTTAACTTGTAGCTATCTTATTCGAAAAAATAAGTTTAAAAAATTAACATAAACCGCTTTAAAGACGTCATTTTTTTCAAATTAGTTAACGTGAAACAAAACTTAAACTTTTCAGCGGTTTACCTGCTTTTTTTTAATAAGCATATGAAAATTTTGAAAAAGGCTCGTGTATCAGAATATAAGGTTTAAGCATTATATGGTCATAACTTTTGAACGCTGAAAGATAATACTATGAAACTTAAAATTTATCGATGAATGTAAATCTAGTTGAGAGTAGTACAAAAAATATTTTATCAACTTGTTGCTTTTAGGTGTGTGTGTTGGTGTGGGGGGGGGGGGGGGAGGAGGGGGGGGGGAGGGGGGTTAGGTTTAAGGGCTTTTTTGTTCCCAGTCTCCAATTGTCGCAATTTTTTGCAAAACCTCATTATTTGACATAAGTATAAACATTTAAATGTTTGGAGCTCGCTCCATGTCCGTAAGTTATCTCAAACACCAAAAAATCCTAGATCCGTCACTGTCGAGTATGCTTATGTAAAAAGCTTTGAGAAGCTCAAGAATATGCTTAAGGTTAAACATGTTTCTAATAAGATAAGCTTATTTCAATACATTTTGATAAATTAATAATGTACATATTTTCAAAAAATTTTTCAAATAAATATTTGATTTTGAATTTTTTGAAAAACATATTGTTCAAAAAAAACAAACTATGTTGTAATCAGGGTCGTCCCAATGAGGGGAGGGGGTGACGTATCTGTTTTTTGCCGACTAAAGTCAAAAAAAATTTTTTTGCCGACTAACTTATCTAAAAAAAAAAAAAAGATATAGTGGTCGACTGCCAACTACAGTTCCAATTTTGCCGAATTCAGTATCTAATTTGCTGGCTAATAAAATTCCTAGAGGGGCTATCTCTTTGAACTTTTCACGCTCTTCCCCCCCCTCCCTCCTCGGGACGACTCTGGTTGTAATATAACAATCAAAAACACTTATAAACATTAAAAACTAAATAGAAGTTTATGTTTTGCTTTGCAATGACATTGTGATTTCATGATTTAATTGCGTTGCAAAACATAAACCTGTATGAATTTTTCTTTTATTGATTTAAATGGTTTAAATTAAAAAAAAAAATTTAAAAATTTTAACTAAATTTTTTTTAACTATTTAAATGGTTTATCAACGCTCAACAATTTGCTTATCAATGCTTATTTTTAAACAAAATCTGAGCCTAAGGTATGCTTAAAAGCGTTATGCTTACATTAAAAAAAAAAAAAAAAAAAAAACATTTTTTTCAGTATTAAGTTAAAGATTTTAAGCTAAAACGATGAATTTTTTTTTTGTCTCTAACTTAAAAAGAAAAATATCTGAAATTTTTTTTTGTTAACTGTCTATTGAAACCCAAATAAGTTGCAACATTTAAAACCATGTTTTTTTAATAAATGTTTTATTCACTTCAATGTGAAACTACCCATTTTTACAGGACCAGAAAATGTCTAAAAAATTATAAAAATTAATAAATTATTTACATTTCATTATATATGAAAATACGCGGGAAAATGTTTTCTAACAACACTCGTTTTAAAAATTCATTAATTATAATTCACTCTAGTTTATGTTTCATAATGAATTATATATTAAAAAAAATTAAATTAAAGTAAAAATAAGAATTAGGAAAAATTTAAAATTTTACTCTTTATTGTTTTATTGTTTTATGGTCTTATCGTTTTATGGTCTAATAAACTCACGCTTGAAGCAATTGGTTTTTCAAGAAAAAAGTTGAAAATTGCTGGTGCCTAATCACCAATGCAAAATTTAATAACGTTTGCTGACGAAACAAATCTCTTTTTTTCAATGACATCAGTGAATAAACCACTTTATCCTGAATTTTAAATTATCAAGACTCATTGAATGGTTTAAAGTAAATAAAGTTGAATCGCACGCAATAGCATAGAGTTGATTCAGTTGAAAAACGCACAAAGAAAACTTTCCTTTGAAATTACCGATCTGATAATAAATTATAAATATGTCGTAATAAATGACTCCATAAAATTATAATCAAGATTCCAAATAACTTTACTTCATCCAAAGAAGACTGTTATACATTTGGAGTTTTCCTAAAGCTTTTGACTTCATAAAATTTTCCATTCTAATAAAAAAATAAAATTAAAACATGAATACAAACTTGGATTGAAATTTAGGTCGAACAGAAATCAAAATGTCACTGTGAAAACGTAAAAACAACCAAAAATAATATAACTCGTGGAATTCTGCAAGGTTCTAACTTGAACCTTTTTTTTTTATTACTATTATTTTTTTACAATTCATAAATGATTTATTTTAAACATCAAATCTAGTAAAATTTATCTAAATTGAAGATGACTCTAATCTTTTTTATTTTCTAATCGGTATCTCGTAAAAGAAGAATTTAAAAAAAAATTAATGTCTTATATTCCGAAAAGAGGGCTGTCAAAAATTGTGAAAATGCCTGTCTGGGTACAGGTGTAACAAACGGGCGGATACACAAGTGTTCGTTAACAAAATAATACTTTTTATAAAAGTTTTTTTTATAAACAGTCAATAAAAACTTTTGATTTAATGATGTTACTTATTTTAAAATGTTCATTTTTAAATAAGTAACACACAATTCCAAATTATGGTTTAAAAATACTAGCGTTATGTTTTGTGTGCCAAAGATGCACGCTGTTGATTGACCTCATGCGTAGCAGTCGGAAAAGCGTATTCTTATGGTATTGAAGTCGCATATAGGTACATATTGTTGTGTGTTAAAATAACATAAATATATCTTCCATCTTTCAGGTTTTGAAAGATTTTAGTCCGAGAGATAAATTAATAAACATGTTGGATAAATTTCTGTTTTATGTAATGTTGTACACAGAATTAAAAATAATAATCAATTCGTAATAATAAGTATTTGAATCAGAAACAAAAAATAACTTTAACCTAACATATTGAATGTTTTCAGAAATTCTGATGGTGATAAATAAATCGTAACTAATTTTTAACAACAAGATCTTTAAGATCTTCTTTCATATATCAAATTAATTATGTTAAATATGTTAATTATGTTAAACTGTTATATTAACTGTTTTAAATTATAAAAATGAGTGAAATGAATTTTAAACCCATGAAAATACAAACAATAACAGTAAGGCTATTGACGTGTGCACGGGTACCGGCAATAGCCTTACTGCTTATTAATGTTAAAAAAACTAAATTAACC